CACGGTCAGACCCAAGGGCTGACTCTGCAGCTCCCATCCCACAAGTGCCAGCCCTGCCCCTCTCTCACCTCGGCACTGGTGGGGGTGGGAGTCCGATCTGGGGCAGCAGCTGGTGGCAGGGGTTCAGCAGGTTCTGGAGTGCTCTCGAGGGGTTTGGAGCCCACACACTGCTCAATGGAGGCCTTGAGCTCCCTTATCACTGGTAAAAAGGGGAGTACAGCTGGAGTAGGGTGGCATTTCCCTGCTCCCAGCCACATCACACAAAAGCCTGATCTCCAAGTTCAAGATGGGGCATTGACACACTCCTCTGTTCACATATGAAAGCTAGGACAGAAAGGAAGCTCGCCCCCCCACCACCACCACCTGCCCCAGTTCAGGACAGGGAATGGCAGGAGCTAACATCACAGCTCAGACACATCCAACACTCCTCCAGCACGAGCCACAGAAGAGGGCTCCTCTCCCTTCCAATGGCATGTTTTCAAGCCTGTGTCATACACTGCCACAGGCACTGAATGTGTTTGAAGTCCTGAAGAGCAGGGTCAGGGATCAAGAGAGATGGAGAGGCTCACACACAGCCTGCATTGACAGACCCTGGTTTGCCACACCACAGAGAAGAAAATGAAACAGCACCTGCGCTGGAACACACATCAGGAGAGACTCTCACCTCCAACAGCTGAGCCCCAGGAGCACACCACCCACCCTGGGCTGCTGAGCACCACACCTAGGGCATCATTGCCTTCACAGGGGTTCAGGGTCTATGGCCCTGACACGGGACAGTGGGCTCATGTGAGGGAGAGGTCCAGGGAAGGATCCCTGGCTTCAGAGGGCCCTTCTCCAACCCATCTCACACAGGGCACTTCCAGCCAAGTCTCATACCTTGATAGAACTGGGTGTTGCCCAGAAAGAGGGTGCTATTGAGGATGGCCAGGACCCAGCAGAGGGGCAGCAGGTAGAGGACACAGATAGTGCCCAGTAGTGCCCCATAAAACCTGTGGAAAACAGCAGGATACTGTGGTCAATTCAGAGCAACTCACACAACAGCATAAAACTCCTTCCTTCATCTGGTGTTCTATCTGTTCTCTCCAAGTACCAAACAAATCAAACACAGCACCACAGGCCTGGCTGAGCCTCTCTCCCCACCAAGCCCACCCCAGGGTGCCTGAGCCAGCACTACTCACTGGGAAGAGACAGTGGGGTTCTCCCAGTACAGCACACGGTACACTGCCTCACAGCTGCAGCACATCCCGTTCAGAAACCCCTCCAGCTGGATCAGGCTGCGAACGAGACAGTCACAAAAAACCCCACAAATGCACACCCTCGTTCCCCACATTTACGTGGGTTACAGCAGGAGCCCCTACAGCCTCCAAGAAGCCTTTGTGGCTGCAGAGGCCCCCACAGCCCCAGCGCTGGGGAGGGCCCGGCACTCACAAGCTCTTGACCTGGGCGATGGCCTCCTGCCGCGAGAGCTGCACCTTGCGCAGATCCTCCCTGCGGATGCTGTGGTACCTCCTGCGCACCAGCTCCGGCTCCGAGGGCCGGGCCCGGCACGTCTCCTGCAGGTAGCCCAGCAGGGCCGGCACCGCCACCAGCAGGGCGAGCACCGAGTACCAGGCAGCTGCAAGAGGTGGGACAGCGTCAGCCGCGAGGGTCCGGGAACGGGAGCAGCCCCGACCCCCGGGACGCACCTTGGCCGAGGGTGAGCAGCAGGAAGTTGAGGCCGAGGCAGACCAGGAGAGAGCACACAGGCCGCTGCCACCTGCCGACAGGGGGAAGGCCAGGGACATGAGACCCGGGCACGGTCCCGGTCCCGGTCCCGGTCCCGCCCCAGCCCGCACCTACCGGAGGAGGGAGCGGACACCGTCGGCGGCGTCCCGCAGCGGCTCCAGGTAGAGCTCCAGCCGCCGGTAGCTCCGCACCAGCTCCAGCAGGTCGAAAGCAGCGGCGGCCTTGGGCGGCGACGGCTCCGGCGGGGCCTCAGCAGCTCCCGCCGCCCCTTCGGGGCCGCCTGCCGCCCCGTCCCGCTCCACCGCCTGCATGACGGGACCGGGACCGGGAGCCGAGCGGCCCCGCCGCGCTGGGCCCGACACCGCCGCGCGCTCCCGTGACGCGACGGGCGCGCCGTGAGCTCCGCGCGGCCAATGGGAGCGGCGCGCCGGGAGCCCCGCCCGCGGGGAACGGGAACGGGAACGGGCCGCGCCCGGCGCTCCGGGCCCGCCCGGCTCCGCCCGCGCTGCGTGCCCGCCGCCCGGCTGGGGCCTGTGGGCCGGCACGCCCTGGGCGGGAGGCGCGGGGCGGAGTCTCGGTGGGCTCGGTCTAGACACGGGGGTCGGTCCCGGCCCGGTCCCGATTTGGGTGTGCTGTGGTGTAGGGCTCACAGCCTGGATCCGATCCCAGTCCAGGGCTGGGCACTGATCCGGGTCTAATCCAGGTTCAGGGCTCAGTCCCAGTCTGGGTCTTGGCGTGGCCTGCATCCAGCTGTGTCGGTCACGGTGGGTTTGTCCCCGTGAGGTTGCTGGGCCGCCTCTCCCCGAGGGGAGACCAGGGAGCAGCCTCACACCGAATGCCTGGAGGGGAGCAGCAGGTTCCCCACCGGCCCTGAGCGTGGCTGGCAGCTCATTCCCTGCCCCTCCATACCCCCAAAGCAGCCAAGCCCTGGGTGCACTGGCACTGTCCTGCCCAGCGGCCTGCAGCCCTGCTCGCACTGCTCAGGGCACCATGGGCCGTCCTACAAGGTGCTTGCAGTAGAGCAGAGATGCTGGCTCCCAGGGATGCTCTGGGGATCCTGGATTCTGTCTGATGCCAAAAGTTGTAACCTTGTTATAATTCTGTGCTGGCTCTTGGACAATGAGGGTACAGTGCTGCTGCCGACTGCCTGCAGCCTCTGATGAACAGGGCATGTGTCCCATGGGCACAAGGGGGAACCCAGTGACACCTCAGCTGCAGGCCCAGGTCCCAGACTCAACTCTGTCCCAAGAGTGTGTCCCAGAGCTGTGGCCAGGCCGGGGAGATGCAGGCAGCCCTCCATTGGCCCCTGACCCACCAAGGGGCATTCCATGTGTACATGGCTGCCCATGGTGCCCTGGGCAGACAGAGGGCCCTTTCAGCACCAAGTGACGAAGCCCATAGGAATGCAGCTACATCCTGTCCTCAGTACATCCCATACCAAAGCCCTGGGACTTGGCCTCCCTCTGCTCTGTCCAGAGCCCCATGTGAGCATCAGGCTGTGCCCAGTCTCTGGACATGCAGCAGGGCCAGGGATAGCCCCTGTCCCCAAGGGCAGAGGCTTAAGCCTCTCTAGTAGGAGCAGTGGCTCAGCATGAGAGAGCCTCCCTGTGATCCCAGAGCACCCCAGGACTTCATGATTATGGCCAGAGACTCCAAGCAGAGAGGCCCCAGAGTGCAGGGCTACAGAGCTGGGTGTGATCTCAGCTCAGACCTCATACCCAGCAGATTCCAGCTCCGGCACAAAGCCCCACACACTCAGTGAGCGCCAATATTGCTTTATTTGGAAGGTGAATCCATTGGCACCTGAAAGGAGGCTGTAGGGGGATAGAGCTGGTGTGACAGACAGGGCTGCAGAAAGCCAGGAGAAGGCACTTGTGGTGGCAGAAGCACCGAGGGCATTTTGGACAGCCTGGGCCAGGGGCTGCACCAGAGTAAGGCAGGGGCAGGCGGTGTCAGGGCCCAGCCTTGACACAGGGCACAGACAGCATGTCCTGCCCAAGGTACATGGCCTGGGGCATGACGGGGTATGCACTGGCACAGCACATCATGATGGAAGTGGCGACCCAGTACCAATCCCAGACCCCTTCAAGGCCCCAGGTGAACCATGGCTGCTGCTCTACACCTCAAAAAAGGTGCCAGGGAACCCCAGGCAATAGGCAGCTGTGGCCAGCTGCTGGGGACACCTGTCTCTGATCTAAGTCTGATCTAAGTCTACAGAGAGATGGGAGCAGACCCTCCCTTGAACCGAGAGCAATAGAGACCTGCCTTCAGGCAGGGTGAGGAGGGCTTGTGGCAGGGCAGCCCTAGTGTGGCACTGCTCCAAAAATTCTGTCTCTAGGTGCCCATTTCTCTAGTCAGCCCTACATGGCGTCGTCAGGGCTTGGCACCTGGTGGGTTCTGGAGGCTGATCCAGGGCTGGGCTGGCTCCAGTGCCAGTGTCCTCTTCTGTTCTCCAAGATAGGTTGTGCTCCCACAATGCCTGGCCCCAGCTCCCCCATGGCCAGAGTGCCAGCACAGACTGCTGCAGTGCTCACCCTTCCCCTCCACCTCACCACAGTCTCCAGGCCCAGTCCCACAGAGTCCAGAGATGAAGATTTTCCAGGATGATAAACCAAGTGTGCCAGAGACAGGCAGGGCTGCAGGCTGGTCTCCAGAATCATCAGCAAGGCTGTTTTTGTCCCTTTTGGAGTAGTCTGGCCCCAGGGCTGGTTCAGTGGCTCTGGTGATTTGGAGCCACAAACCTCTCTGCAGGGACAGCAGGAGGAGAGAACAACCCCATGACTGGCTCCCCTCAACCTCTGGGGCACCTGGCCCCATCCCAGGACTACACAAACTCCAGGGCTGGAGGAATTTCCCCCCTGCCCAGAGTCACAGAACAGGTTACGGCTCCCCTTGTCCTTCCCCTCCCTGCACAGCAATGGAGGCCTTGCTGCCCTGCTCAGTTTCCAAACTGGACTGGGGTGATGCTGGATCTGGCTGTGCAGTACTGAGTGTCTCTACACCCCTCGAGTGCAGGGCAGGGAGGCACTGAGCCCTTTAGGGCTCCAGTAAGATAAAGGATGTTTTCAGGCCAGACAGAAGGAGGGGCCCAGGCTGGGGAAGCCAAGTTCAGAGCCTCCGTTAGGGAATTGTGGAGGCGCCTGGCAGCTGGAATGGCAAGATGGGGCTGCCCGCAGGTCAGGGGGGGTTATGCCCATCCAACTCCCCTAGGCACTGCTGCCCCCAGCTCAGCTCCACCAGGCCAGTCCCCCCTCTACCCCAGGGAAAAGCACCCACCTGAGCATGCAGCACTGGCAAGACCAGGGGATTTTGGCTTGAGTCCTAGGGGGGCTCCCAAAGATTGGTATCCCTCTTAGGGGCTCTCCATTTGGGTCCTTCCACTTGCAGTATCCTAAGTCTGTCCAGGGCTGGGAGAAGGGCCTGTGCAGTGGCTCGGTGTCCATGCTGTCTCGGTGCTCTGCAGGGGAAGCCGTGCTCGGCGAAGGCCTCTGTCTGTCCATCCGTCTGTGCAGGAGTCTCTGGAGGAATTGCAGTGCAGTCAGCCAGGAGGGGATGGGGTGGCAGGGTCGTTTCATCCCAAAGACAGGCTGTGTTCTGTCTGCGGCTGAGAAGGGGAGTCAAGTGGCACGGGATGTCAGATGATGTCTCGCTGGTCCTGGCAACGCCGCAACAGGCAGTAGAGGCCGGAGAAGAGGTACAGGCAGGCAGTGATGCCCCCGCAGATGGAGGCGCTCAGGTAGGCACTGTACAGGCAGTGCTGGCTGTAGCCCGGCAGGTTGCAAAAGCTTCTCTGCTTGGCCTTGTGACCCATGATGCCGGTGGCAGCTGCGTAGAGCCCCACACCCAGTGCCAGGTCGTGCACCAGGTTGGTGAGGAGCCAGCGGGAGCCCAACCAGGGCACCAGCTCCCAGCGCCCCAGCAGGCTCAGCCCGAAGAGGGCCAGGGTGAGGAGCCAGACGAGGACGGCGGCAAACAGAGCGAAGTGGGCCGCCCCTTCGTACTTATGAGCCGCTACCGTCACCCAGAAGGCAGCGCCCAGAGCCAGCTGCCCCAGGCGTAGCAGGCCCAGCGGGCTCCGCAGGAAGGCGCGATGGAGGCTGAGAGAGCCGCGGGCCGGCGGCCCCGGGGGCGGCGGCACCGTCGGGGGAGCCGTGCGGGCCATGGCGCGGCCCTGCCTACTCCGGCGCTGCTCGGGCGGGACTCAGGGCCCCGGCAGCGACTTCCTCCCTGGCTGTTGCCAAACATCTGGCACTTAGCGGTCCTCCCCGCGCGGGGCCTCTCTCCTCTCCTCCCTGCCCCGCCTCCGCGCCCCGCCGCACCTCCCGCCAGCCCATCGGACACCCGAGGGCCGCGGCGGATGCGCCGTCGGGCAGGGACCGCCGCGCCTCTCCCGTCCAGCTGCCGCCGGGGCGGGCCACAACGCGGGGCGCGAGGGGCGGCGGGAGGACGTGGGAGAGGGCGACCGATGCCGGCGGCGGGGCGCAGGGACAGCGCACCGGGACCCCGTGCGGCGGCCGGCGGGGGGCGCGCGCCGGGGCTCCCCGTACGTCATCCGGGATTCCCTCCGGAGTGCCGAGCGGCGGGGCCCCGCCCAGGGGCGAGGCCTCGCACCCCGCCCGTGACGTCATCTGCCACGTGGCCTCCAGCGAGGCGGGGCAGCCGCGCCCCTCGGCGCCGATTGGCCGTGGCAGCGGGAGGCGGGCGGGAATCGTGGGGGGGCGGGGCCGGCACGCAGCGGTGAATGAATGGGGCGCGCGGCTGCGGCGAGACCCCGGCGCGGTGGCGCGAAGCGGGTCCGGGAACGCAGCGGGCACCAGGCGGAGCCGCCACCGCCAGGTCTGTGCGAGGGGCCGGTGGGTGCGGGGCAGCGTTGGAGCGAAAGTGAGTCACGGCGGGGCCCAGCGCCCCGGGCAGGGCGGGACCGGACTTGCGTGCCCCGGCCCGAGCCGGGGCGTCTCCCGCGTTCCCGGGCGGCCACGCCTGTGCGGCTGGCCCCCTGCCCGGCATCCCGGACCGCCCTTAACCCGACGGTCCCCCTTCCTCACTGGGCATCCGCGCCGGATCCCGGGGGAGGCGGACCGGACCGAGCGGCGAGACCGGAGCCTGACGCCGACTGTTCGGTGCCCGCAGCGGCCAAGGCCACGGGCACTCCGGCCTCGGTGGTGAGCGACTCTCCGGGACGGCCGGCGCCCGCAGCCCGCGCCCGCAAGCGGGCCTCGGCCAACATCTTCCAGGGCGTGGGGCTGCGAGAGCTGCGGAGCCTGTTCCGGAGCGGCGGGGCCGAGCGGCCCGAGGAGCGCGCCCGCCTCGTCTGGCGGTACGCGGGCCAGCGGCGCATGGCGCGGGCCCTGCGGCGGCTCCGGCGGCGACGGACAGCCCAGCCCGGCGGTGGGATGGCCGCGCTACGGCGCTTCGAACACCTTCGGTAGGTACGGGTCGCGGAGGCGGGGCAACCGGGGGAAGTGCGGCCGGGCCACGCCGCTAACACACAGCTCTTGCCCGTAGGATCGCGGAGAAGAAGCTGGAGGGTGACTGCGGGGCCAAGAGGGGCTCGGGCTCCATGCAGCAGCGCTGAGCGGCTGGGCCGCGGCGAGCAGCCTTCCAAGGACCCTAAGTGTACTGGGCAGGGTGCAATGAATGGTTAATAAAGGGTGGACAGTGGTGCCTGGGTGAGGCTCTGGTTGTGTCCTGCCCATCCCTGAGTGGCAGAACCATGGTCCAGGCTGTTGTACAGCACTTAGTGCAAAGGGAACAGCCCCACATCACAGGTGAGGTGGGAACAGACCTGTGGGTCATCTGTTCCATCCTCCCTGTTTAAGCAGGTTCATCTTAGAGCAGATGTCACAGCATCAGATTCAGATGGTTCCTGAATATCCCTTGTGAGGGAGACTCCACAGCCTCTCTGGGCAATCTGTTCCAGTGCACAGTCACACAGTAACTGCCCTGGCACAGTCACAGGGACAACTGAAGAGCAAGCTACATGCTGCCCTTCATGAAAAGGAACACGAGGAAGAGAGAATAGAGATTCTCCAGGGAGAGATTTCTCTGCTGGAAGACCACCTGGCCAAGCTGGAAGAGTGTAGTGCTCAGCAGAACGGAGAAGTCATGGGGGATATTCTGAAGCTTGAGGAGCTGAAGCAGGAAGTATTCAGCCTCACTGCCAAAAGAACAAAACTCCAGGCCATGGTCCTGTGGCTGAAGGAGAAGCAGCTACAGGAAGCAGCCTTGCAGTCTGAATGTGGCCACTTCGAGGAGGAGAAGCAGCAGCTGGGCAGCCTCATCTCCAGCCTCCAGAGCTCCCTCTCCAAGAGCCACTGGGCCCAGGAGAGACTGGAGCAGCATCTGCAGACACAGGATGCCAAGAGATAGCCTGGGCAGCTGCTTGCCTTCAATGTCCAGCATGAGCAGACAAGAAAGGTACTCTGTCCTGCAGCAGCTCCAGCAGCTGCAGGCAGCCAGTGCATCCCTGTGCAGGTACACATGGATACCAGCCATGGGCCGAGGAGCCACGACCTGCTCTAGGGTGCTGCAGAGGCACAGATGTAGGCAGCTGAATGGCAGCTCTGTTATTCAGACCGTTGCATGGTTTAAATACATTACATACATTTCTACAGTGCATTAGAACAATACATTTTGGGTCAGTCAAATGCAGCTGGGCCTGGCCGGGGAGTTGGGATCTCCACTGCTGCCCCCTCTGTGCTTACACAGCCAGTGCTGAGTCCCCTCCCCATTGCAGGAGACAAGGCAGCTGCTCTGCCTTCCAGGTTCACCTGCCTTCATCCCTCTCACTCCCCAAAGGTGGGCTAACAGAACAGCAAGACCCAACACTGACTTTCCCCAGCAGCCTGAGAAGTCACAGCTCAAGGCAAGCAGGTGCAGGCAGCAGCCCTGGTGCTGTTTTATACAACACAAGCTCAGCAGCTGCTGGTAAGAGGGGCTCCCTGCCTCCCCACCCACAGCAGGCCTGCGAGATTGTCAGCTCCAGGGCAGCCAGGAGTCCATGCTGGTCCCCCAGTGCTCCCACCCATGTGGCAGAAGAGCCCCTCCAGCCCTTCCCTGGCAACCCCTGCTCCTCAGAGGGTCCCTAGGCACAGACAAGGCTGGCACCATGCTGGCTGCACAGCAGCCAGGGAGGTTGCTAGGAGAGGAAAGAAAGTCAAGCGAGAGCAGCTATGGAGCCCAGGCAGGAGAAATGGACTGGGGCAAAAGGGGAGAGCTCCCATGGGAGGGCTCTGCGAAGCCACCTGCCCTTCACATGGACAAGCCAGCACCTTTTCTGCCTTAGTGTCTAACTGCATCCAAGCCAGTCCCCTGTGTTGTCCCTCTTATGTCCCTTCCTCGAGCCTCTAGCCAGAGAACAGCCACTCATTGTGGTCCCCGCTATGCCAGTGGGCAGCAGGAACTCCCCCTGAGGAAAGCAGCGTGCACGGGGTTGGGGCACTGGAGGGACAGTGGAGGAATACAGCACACCCTCAGGGAAATGGAGGGGGTATCACCTGCTAAAGGCCTTCCCAGCCTGGCAGCTGGCATGGTGGGGAAAAGAAGGGCCAGTGGCTGGTGTAAAGGGCTGGACGGATCCTGGCTCAGGTAGCCCGTTCATCCCAGCCCCAAGCAGGGGTGCTCAGAACCGCATGCAGGCCAAGGAACAGAGGCAGGAGCAGGGTCCCAGCCATGCCACAGTTCCTGGTAGATTCCCACACCTCCCCCTGACCTCTGCCCCAGGCAGGGCACCAAGCTCCAATGGAGCTGGGGAGGGACCGTGCCCAATCTGCCTGGCTCCTCCAGTTCAGCTGCAGGTTCCTCCAGTCGCATCTGCTCGCTCTACCCTGAAGGTCGAGTCCCAGCCACAGGAGGCAGCAGTGGCCCAGCTCCTCTCGCAGTGCTAGTCCGAGGTGGCCAAGCCCTGCCCACGGCTCCCGCAGCTACCACCATGAGAAGAAAGGCTTCCGGCTCTGGAAGCTCTGCGTGTAGGACTCGCTGGCGGAGCGCTGGTGGGAGCGCGCTGTTTCCACAATCACGGGCGGCATCTGAACCAGGTGCAGAGGGCTTTTCCCGTCCTTCAACGCCTGAGTCAGGTTCAGAATCTGTATGGCACAACAGCAATGCCTGAGCTGCCTTGCCTGAGCAACAGAGAGCATCCACTCCAGGCAAAGGCAGGACAAGGTTTCCCACCTCATCCGTCTGTCTTCCCTATGCACAGCTTACCTGACCTCTCATGACAGCAATCTGCTTGTGAAACTGTCCCCTGTCAAAGCCAGGGTCTTTCTGCAAGAGAGACAGCAAAGAACACAATGAGATCCACCCACTGCTTCATGCAGTCAACAAGATGCCTATTCCCCAAGTAAGCCATACCCCTGTCCTGTCCCATGGGTTTCCTGCTTCTCCCACATTGAATCTTCAGCTTCTGGCAGAAGGATAACCCTGCTGTGTCTCAGCCCAGAAACATTGTCAGGAGCTTGACGACCTCTCTCCCTGCAACCTTGACAGGGAGTTCCCCAATACGACTCCTGCTTTTCCTCCTCCCACATCATCTTCACCCACTCCTCCAGCTCACCTTGAAGAGCTCATACAGATCTTCCTCCAGGTCCTTGACAAAGTTGGGGTCTGAAATCTTGGGAAGAATCAGGTCCTTGATCTCCTGTGAAAAGGGGATTTTGGCCTGGGGCAGCCATGCCCAGTAGAACGGATCTGTGGAAGAAAGCAAGAAACATTAGAACTGGGGAATGCAATGCATGGTGCCACGTGCCCCTGGGTGCCAGCTTCCCTGCATCTGGGACACAGGGTCCAGCATCTTCCTTCTGCAGTCTCTGCTGAGGAGCTGCCCATGAACCCACAAGTTGCAGAGGTTCTAGCCTAGCCCTAGCCCTCTCCTCTACAATCCTTGGAAAGGATGCCCAAGCATGGAGTTGTGCAGCTTGCCATGGTGCCTTGGCATAGCCTGGGGGACTCACATGCTCTCCAGGAGTCCGGGTGTTTCAAGGGAAAGGCCAAACCGTTGTCTATAGCAGCCAGCTTGATGATGGGCTCCTTCACCACCACCCAGTCGCTGTCCTGGAAGGAAGTGAAGCATGTCACAAGGAAGTCCTCCCAGCAGGAACAGTCCTTCTCCTACTCCCTTCAGCCCCACCCTGGCTACCACAGAGGCACAGCAGCCTCTTGCCT